GGAGTTTGCCCCCTCACATATACTAATGTGCCACAAACAGGACTTAAGTATCACCAACCATTCCCATTTTATTATGGTGTATCCATAGAAATGGCCCTCCCTGTACATTAATTAACTGTCAGACAGGGAAAGGAAAAATATTCTTCTGAAATTTTTAACTCTAACCTGTTGCTAGGCTCATGGTTTTCAATTTACAGACATCGTTGCATGACTACAAAGTAGGAACATTTCTCCTTTTTCAAACAGTGTTTTTCTCAATGCCAGTTGATCTGCACTCTTTGACCTGGAGGCATCTTAATGAGAACAGTGTCATCTTTCTGGCGAAAACAGATCCATTATATTTTGATCTAGGACTTTTTGAGAAAAGCTGAAAATACGTCTTTTTCCGGGTCTACACAAGTAAAACAAAAAGAAAAAAATATATATATAACTTTTGGGGCCGCTCAATAAATTTACATACAATTTATTTATTTGTCTGTCAGTGTTCCTGACTGTTTGTCTCCATAGCCATACAGATACGGAGTCATGGCTTTACATATGTTACGGTATTACTCAGTGTCAAAGCTTCTCCTGTCTGCCTCTTTTTCATATGCACACATGAAAAACACAAAATAGTCCAAAAACCCCACCAGCAGCTAACAACAGCGACTGTGTTGCTGTAAGATTTTCAAAACAAAATCCTCCAGCTTGTTAATGGAAGACCAGTAAGCTTTAAAACATGTAGATCTTTCAACATAAAAGCCATTAATTAAATACAGAAAGCTATTCGGTTGACCAAAGCTGTCTGATTTTCAAAAGAATTCATCAGAGTTCATCAAAATCAGAGCCTCCAGTTGTGTATTGGACATTGTCAAGATGCTTTAATAATGTGAGATTTTCAAAGTAAAATTACAAAATTAACAGGATGTTTATAAATAAATAATATATTTCAAATAAAACTTAACTAGACATGAATTTATCAGAATGGTTTCAGGTGCCAGAGTTTAAACTATCAAAAGTATTTTGGGGCAGTCTACTTAGCTTCAACTTCTTAACAACATAGCGAGTCCAGCAGTAGCATTAATCACTCTACTGTTTCTCCAGAAATTGCATAGTCTAGTTCTTGTGATTATTAATTATGAAGAATATTTTTCCTCAATTAATAATTTAGTTAAAAAAGAAGTGGTATATCATATGTTCTTGAAAAAAATAGTAAAAATGAACTTGCTGATAATTTTTTAATAACCAGATCAGACATCATGATGATAGTGGTGTAGAAACAGAAAATAAAACATCCAATAATGTTGTATCTTACCATCGGAAGGCATGTGCATGAAATGAGCATCAACTTCTTTTTCGTCTGTGCCATAGGGGTTTGCAACCTCTAGTTTGTAACGCCCATTGTTGATGTGTGTAGGGCTGTCCAACTGCAAGCAGCCATGGTACTCTCTCTCAGCGTAGTCGTGGATCCTGGTGAAGATGTACTGCCCCTCCTTCACTGGCTTACCATTCTGTGACCACTTGAAAGTTGGCTTAGGGTTTCCTAAAGAGAGGTAGTGAAAACAATACAAAAGAACCAGTAACGTTAACTAGTTTTCATTATTTAAAAAGATGTCATTACCCTATTTACGCAGGTACTGGTGTGACTTAGGGAAAGTCTTTTGTGTTGGGACCTTGTGAAATCACAAAAATCAAACATCAGAATATGACTAAATACAATCATGTGGACATCTCTTGTACCTGTCACGCTGAAGGGAATACACCAATGATGATCTGGAATTGCGTCACTCAGCTTTGTGATTTTGGGAGGAACTGATGCAGCGGAGAGAAAAGAGAGTTTAAGAGCAACAGTGTGAAATTCAAACAGAAGACAGAACTAAGATAAGGCAAAGGTAAAAACTAGCGAAGCGTGCAAGAACACAGATTAAAAGATGAGAAGAACCGTTGTCTTCTGAAGCTTTTAATTCTCTGATTTAAAGACTACGCTGCATCGAGGGATGCTTTGACAAATTAATCTTCACTAAATTGGGGCAGTTTGCCAGAGGATAAACTTACATAGTATATTCAGCACCACAGAGGACTCTTTGTCTCCTACAATGTTTTCAGCTGTGCAGCTGATCTTGCTGTTGTGATCCGTGGAAGACAGGTTAAACAGTTGCAGCTTAGAAGTCTGGCCCGATGTCGCTATCTGCATGAGAAAAGAGCAGCCGCACAAACAAAAACTGATTGCTTAGTAGAAGACAATGTCTTCAACGTCAGATCGTGATGTTAAGAGGTCCAAGAGCCACATTAAGTAAAAATTGACTTTTAAATCAAAGTGGACCTCGATAACGCTCAAGCTGTTAAATGTTCATGATATGTGCATAAAACACTAGAAACGCTGGGTTATGTCATTCATAGCACTTTAAACAAGAGGGAAAAGTATGTGTTGACAGTAATATACTCTAAATTGCTAATTGTTTTTATGATGACACAGCCGGTCTGTGGTAGCCAAACCCTTCTTCTGGTGTTGTGGGGAAATCAAATACTTATTTCCCTCATGGACATGCAAATCATGTCAAACTTTTTTAGTAATTTGTTTTGTTTTGATATTCTGTCTCTCTCCATTAAAATGAAACTAACAGAAAGATTAGAGACTGTTCATTTCTTTGTAAGTGAGCAAGCTTACAAATTCAGCAGGGGATCAATCAGTGTACATGCTTTTGTCTTTGGGGGAAGAAATTCTAACGGCAAGCTACTACAATCTTTTACATGTAAGACTTTGATTGTTGTAGACTTGTGAGGTAGCTAGTAATGGGCAGCCATGTGGGCAAAAATGCCTGGCTAGAGTCTTTACATTTTCACGGAACCTGTTCCCTGACTTTGGGGGATTGCAAGAGATGAAGTCTTCAACACACACAAGCAACCAAAATGCAGTTATAATTAATGGTAATAAGCCATTTATTGGAAATCAGAGTAGGAACATTAAAATAACAGTATCATAGCAACAAATGGTCTGAATACTGAAATGCTGAAATGTAAAGCTCATAGAGCACAATATCGTAATTTCTGTAACAGTAGGACAGCAGTGCTGGTACACTGTGTGTCTGTGTGTGTGTGTCTCCTAACCTCATAGTAGGCGACACGTATCATGTCCCAGAACAGCTCAGGAGATGGGACACCAGAGGTCGTACACAACAGCTCCATATTCTCTCCCTCCATTTTGGTCAAATTGGATGGGGTTAACGTTGCCGTGGGAACCTCTGCATACAGCAAGGGGGCAGAAAGGAGGAGAGAAGAGTGAGGAGAACGTAAAGTTTAGAGATGGCGAGAGGACAGGACAGGAAGTGGTAGGAAAGGAAGCAAACTTAGGATTTAAGGCCTGTTTAAGGCCGCTGTTTTTTTCTTCTCAGTTGAAATACAAATCACGTAAGAACCTCGACAACAAGAGAAGAGCAGGCAAACACACACACGCAACCACAGGGACACACAAAGAAAGAGCTCGAATTCAATCTCCCGCTCTCTTTCTCTCACTTTCATTTAAGCACACTCACCCCAATCAAACAGTCAGACAAAGAGACAGAGTTCAAACACAGTGATGGTTACACTGATTACTAGTGCATGTCTTCAGCAGCCCAACTACTAAATTGATTGGACACAGTCTAAAGCCCCTGTCAAAGCAAAGACACTGGTGACTGTGTGTGTGTGCATATATGTTTGTGTGTGTGTGTGTCTACATAGGTGACCAGGATGTGACCTGAGCATGACCAATCAGACTCAATCAGAGTCTTGCCACTTTTGTCCCCTGTCCAATAACATCATTGAAGAGAAGAGAAGAGTGTCGACAGCTACTGCAGATAAAAACTGGACAGATTTCTTATCAAACCCCATCCTCTCCCCACCCGTTTCCAACCTCTTCTGTCCGTCGGCAGAATGCTTATCACCAGGGCAACCCACTTATCACTACGGCAACCCACTCAATCACTGTGAGACGCCGTAAAAACCAGTCATTTCACTGGTGGCAGCCCAGCTACTATATCAGAACGACATATCTTAACAGGCTCTCAGTAAATCAGCTTTCTACTGCCACTACAGCCATCTGCAGGCTGCACATTACACACACACACACACACACACACACTCACACACACATCTCCCACTGAAGCCAACAAATTAGCATAAAACCTCTGCAAACCACCGTGATTTTGATGTAAGTGCAGCAGGATCGTTATGACCTCATGTTCAATTATGGTAGTTAAATCATCCATGCCAGTGTGTGATCCTGAATCTTTAGCTGCTTAGATGTTTTCAGAATCAACAAGTGGGATTGAAAAGGGTTTTATTGTAATTATGGACGGTAGATCTCCCTGCAATTGTGACAACACCAGCAATTATACGGAACTGTGTCGTGCATCAGCGCTGAGCCCGCGCTATAGTTCACCTGCTGCCACTTGTGAGGAAATTCTGGCAGTCGGGTGTCTGCAAGGGATGCACGACATTTATATTCATGCAAGAGAGTTAGACACTAGCTAAATGGTTTTTCATTCAGCCTTTTGACTAAAAAATCCCAGCTATGTTTCTGTTAGTAGTGTTGAGCCATATCTTTTGTGAAGGCATGGCTGAACTTTGCGGTGGTTATTGATGTAGGTCTGTTTTCTTGTGAGAGATGTAGACATTTACATTGTGACAGTCTGTGACACAAAGACAGAAAACCATTCACACTCACACTCAAATCACTCAAACCATGGCCAATTTAGAGTCACCGTTTAAGCTAATGTTTTCCAAAACATACGTTTAAACAAATAAAGACGACATGCAATAAGAGCGAAGGAAGAATAAAGGTTAAAGAGCACAAAAATCTGAGTGGTCGAACTGCTTGTTTTCTTCTTATTTTTAAGGTTATTTCCTGTCATGCATTGCAGAATTTTCAAGTATTCTTCTATTATGAGTAGAAATATAAATAGATTACTGTACTTATATTGCCTCAATTTGTGATTTGATGAT